CTCTCTTAAAATATCTATTCTTATTACTCAAGACCTAAGTTCATGCAGTTCTTCAGAGCAAAGGCTACCATGAGATGGGACACAATAACTGACTAGAAGTGCTCTCTTTGAACTATGAACAAAAGATATTCAAGAACTACTTTTGTATAGTTGGGTTAAAAATATCTAAGAAAGAGTAGAGACGATCTGGTGACAGATCCAAAGAGGAGGCACATATTTAAACTGGTTTAACAAAGAAAATTTAGAAGGACAAAGGCAACACCTAACAACATGGCAGACAAAATCCATGCACAGAGCAGACTTCATGGTCCAGTGAACAAGCCACAATCCTGCTCTTGTAGAAGAACACAGGAATGCTAGGTAAGAGTTCTCAAAACTACAAATGAGGATTTTTATCAAATTTTGCATCATTATTACTTTGGGAGTCCTGAGACCAGAAAGGTCATGGTTCAGCACTATGCTGAACTTCACATCTGCACTGAACAAGCCTGCAGGAAGATACTGGGGTTCCCATCTCTGTCACCACGCTAATATTTGATGGGTATGGGAAAAAACTGAATTCTCCACAAGAGAAACTCTATGTAGTGAAAGAACTACAGGACTTAAAAATCAAGTACAATGACTGACTGAAATTAAGTTTACAGCTAAGCAGAAGACCAAAAGAGCTGTTCCAGTTAGCAAGAGTTGATACTCAACACACTGTAAGTTTCACTCTACAACAAACAGAAGGCAATAGTGAAGTTTATTTTATCTTAGCCATTGCACAAGCTTCAGTGGCACAGTCAGGAAACCGTCTGCAAATGAAGGGTCATGGCTATGAGTGTGCTTATAGAAACCTGCAAAGCAGGGACCAAGGGAGAAGAGAGCCATATCATTCTCTTCTACGTGTTCCCAAATACTTCCATGTCAAATGCCCGTAAGATTTACAGATAAGTGAACCACTGAAACAGTAAGTTGTTCAAGAAGTGGATTTCCCCATAGAGCCATGACTCTTTCCAACTTCCACAGGCATTTTATCTGCTTACAGACAGTGGGGTTTTAATGATGTTGCCTTCTGCCTCTCTTTTAACACTCCCATATCCTCAGTAATGGGTGCATCTTTTTCGCCTTTAAAACAGAATGGAGTGAACAAATCACACTGATCTGCATCCAATTCTGTTGTATTTGGTGAGTGTGGCTGGCAAACGGTTTCTCTGCTCCAGAAAGCACAATAGTCTAGCAAGCTGTCAGGAGGAAAAAAAACAGGTACAAAGTTAGGGGACGAAGTCCTTCCTCCACTGAACTAAAGTCTGAGGTGACCAGCTATAACAGCATATTCAAACGGATGGTTCGCAACGAGAATATGGTACATACCATGAGTCATAAGTCAGAAAATTGCCTCAAGTCAACTTTTTTTCTGTCCAGACAAAAAACCCTACCGCAACATTAAGCTCTTAGAAGGATTACTCCACTGAGATTACCTTGGCCATAATGTGCATCTAAAGACAAGCAAAACTCCCAATTACAGAGCAGTAGCCTGTAACTTGGGCTGAGATTTGACGAAGAGATGTTAGGGTAACTCAGAAAGTGGTCATTTCACAAAGAGCAACAGCAAATGGAAATACCACTATTATTTTGTACCTAGAGTAACCTTTATTTTACTAGAGTAGCAGTGTTATGGTCAGTGTGTTATAGAATCTCCATAGCAGAATCAACTGTCTTGCAGCAAATAGGTAAGAACAACAAATTCAACAATAGGTTTCCTTTTTACCCTGTGCACAGGCAGAGGAGAAAAGCAGCCCACCTCACAGAGTCCTAGCTTTCAATCCTCTGCTCCGGACTCGCTAGAGGCTCAGGTCACTGCAGAAGAGCAGGACATGCTGCATCACAGTTTGCAACAAAAACAGCAACAACAAAACTTAATGGGGAAATTAAAGCAAGTGTAAAATCTGCAGAGTTCTTCAGGATTGGTGCAGTGTTACTAGCACAGCTCACACTGAGGCAACCCACCAAGTATTCATCCAGAAGAGTTTACAACATAGAATGGCAATAACTAAGTGATTACTAACTGCTAATACACATTTCAAGAAAAAACCTACCACAATGTCAGAAAAACATGTTTCCCTTCTATGACAATGTAATAAGTCTGAGGAATATGGAAGCAGTAATGCATGTAGCATCTGGACTTCAGCAAGGCTTCTGACAGCATTTTACATGCTATTTCCATAAGTAATTTAGAAAAAATGTGTATTCAGAACTAGCTTACAGTGGTATATACAATTCATTGAAAAAACACTCAAAATTGATCACTGTCAAACCAAAACAATGTATTAAGTGATATCCTCAAGAGTTTGTCCAGAGTCCAACAGTATTCAACAGTGTTATTAATTATCTACGTGATGCAACATATGGCATCGTTATTAAAGATCAAGTTACTGTGAAGAGAGTTGCATCCCTATTATACTAGCAGAAGATAAATCAAAATGGTCTTGACAAATGTGGGAGGGGAATCCACAGAGTGGATTCCTTCCTATTTTTTTTAATAAAGACAAATGTAACATACACTTAGATAGGAATCCTCATCTATACAAGATGGAAAAATTATTTGCTTGCCAGAAGTTCTGCAGAAAGTAGTCTGGAGCAATAATGCATCAGAAAATAAATGTGCATCAACTATATATTTAAATGGCAAGTTTCACAGCCTGATGTACAAAACAAGAGTATCTTTGGTAGGACAAGTGAGACAATTCTTCTCCCTACAGCCAGCACGGACATGGCCTAAGTTAACAATCTTATGTCCAGTTTTGGGCATCACATTTCTAGAAAGATATGAAGCAACTGGAGAGAGTCCAGGGAAGTAGGGTGAGGGGGAACACTGGAGGTCTAGAAAACATGACTTATGATAAAAGACTGAAAGAACTCGGTTTGTTTAGTCTGAAGAAAGAGAAGACTAAAAAGAGACATGATAACAGTTTCCAAATACGTAAAAGATTGTTACAAGAAAGAAAAACTACTTTCCACATATACTCCAGATAGAACTAGAAACAACAAGCTAAGACAGCAGCAAGTATGTTTTTTTTCTAATGTCTAGCTGACAAGAAAAATTAAACATCTGAAAGATTGCCACTAGGGGCTGTGGAAGCATTAAAGGTTTTTAAGAACAAATATGCCTGGAACCAGACAGGCATAAAAGGTTTTCTCAGGACTGCTGAATGGACCATATGATTTCCTGAGGTCTTATTCAACACATTCTGATTCTGTGTTTTAGGCATAAAACTTAATTCCTTTATTGCTATTTGTAACTACCCGTTGAGTTTAGAATGACTACTTTCTTTATCTTAAAAGAAAAACTGTTCTTTCTAGGACAACAAGAAATGCTCTTCAGAGAATGCAAGAACCACTGACATCCACCCAAACTGTCTTTTCCAAACCACAATACAGCAGGAGACAAGCGTTGCTACTCATTACAGATGAGGAATAAGCTGTAGAATTGAACCAGAAATGTGATACATTTCTGGTTTTGCTGCAGTTTACTTATAAAAGTGTTTTTTTTTCTCTCGTGTGTAAGATTTACCCAGTGAGAGGCCTGTCAAGAAAAGGTATAAGAAATGACAAAGAGTAGAGATGATGAAAGCGAAGCTAAGGTCAAAATAAAAAGTGACATCACCTACTAAGTGCAACAAGTCTTATGGGGCAAATGAAGCTCAATAACCAGCGAATATGACTTTTAGTCATTCTGAATATTGCCAAGTAATAAATTTACCAGCTAATATATTCATCAGTGCAAATTACTGTAGAAGGTGGTCACTGCTCATCTCCTCACGCCATACCTCCACAACTACACTCAGATGCAACAAAGCTCTTTCTGCTGAAAAGCTGCCACTAAGGTGCTCTGCATTATGTGAGGCCTTGAGCTTGTGGCAATTACTGCTTCTTCATATACGGAACAGGCTACAGATGGTAGTCCACAGGGTAGGGTGCAAGGCACTTTTCCCCTCCCAGGTCTTCAGAGGACAGGAGCAAATTATTACAAAGCTGAAAGTCAGGAAACCAGACAGATGCCCTCAAAAAAAGTTATGTATGCTGACAGACAGAGTTATGCAAAAGGAAGACAAATGTAATGCATGACAGGTTTCCCAGACAGCGGTTTGGTTGAAGGTGGCAGTTTGGTATTTTTTAATGTTTTCTTGAAGAAATTAACTCAAGTTAGACTTTAGCTAGGATCCTAGCTTTATTTGCATAAAGGTCCTAAAAAGGGGATTATTAATAGTCCAGTTTTTTGCTCAAAGGAACCTCCAGCAATGTGAAATTTCTCTAAAAGAAAGCTTAGGACAAACTTCCATGGTGCTTTAGAACTCGATAAAATCCATGCCCTTCCTATACAGTTCAGTAAATACTGCAGCTTTGATTTGAAGATGTGCCTTATTTTGCCTCTTTCTGTATTTCTAGACAAAACTGTTCCCTTTACTTAATTACTTTTTTTTTTTTTCCTTTTTTTCTTTTTTTCTTTTTTTTTTTAACTACTGCCAAAATGGGCAATTTGGTTTTGGGCTCTTGTTTTTAGAGTAAGTGGCCACTGTAATGAGAAGAGCTGACATATTAACCCACCCTCTTTCAACTCTGGGCATGTCAATGAATACAGCTGTTAAATGGATACATCACAGTCCAGAAGAGGAAACGGAAGACAGGTGTGGGGAAAACAAACACAACGTCTCACTGTCATTGCAGAATGTCAAACGAGCAGCCAAGAGTCCTGCATCACCCAAAGAGCAGGGACAGCTCTGCATGGGTGAACAGACGGGATACACAGCACACTTCAGCAAACATCTGGGCCAGGATGCTAAGGGAATGGGACAGGGTCATATGCAGAATTTGTCAAAGAGAGAAACTGAGGTGATTTCAACACGCGAGTTTGACAAGTAGTTGGGAACATTCAGAATACATCTGCTTTCTTACTGCATGCTAGATGAGACATATTACTCCTCTCTCACCCCCATCCCTCCGAACCCAAGGAGGTTTACCAATATTTGGATGCTTTAGAAGTCTGCAGATTCGAGCTTCACGTTCCAGTTTCTGGTGATCTGAAAGAGAATAAGAAATAAGGCATTAGGCACTACAACTCTGAACTAAGCTCTTGTTCATATTCAACAGAAAGGGGAACACAGTGACCCAGCACACATCCAGAGGGCTGGGAATTGCTGGAACACAACAGTCTCTTAAAACCTCCCACCCATTTCAGGTGAGGGCTGTGCAGCCGAGGCTGCAGAAGACCTCTGCTTCTGCTACAGAGCTAGCACTAAAATGATATTCCCATCCTAGATTTGAAGTGAGTAGCATCAGAATCAAAGACATCAGTCTTATGTCAGCCACACAAATATGCAATGCCACTTCCAGTGATGTCCCTTCTGAGACTTATCCCCTTCTCCAAAGCCAGAGAGGAGGAGGAAAAGTCTCTGAAGAAACAGCCCCCATGAAATGGGAGGAGGACCTGCTGCTACCCCAGAGAAACACTGTGAAAGGCAGAGCAGAATGGAGAAATACAGACCTCCTGCTAGAGTGCACAGCCATCACGTGAAGAAGGGAACTCTGCCAGCTCCAGTGAACTGTAAAGGTAACCATACTTCAGTACCCATGGATGGACTCGCTGGTGAAATGCTCATCAAGCACTTTGAGATCTCTGGGCAAGAAGTTCTGCCCAAATGCTAAGTATGCTTATTCCAGCCCAAAGGCAACATCAGTTTGAGCACGATTATCATCTGGATTAAAGAAAAAAAAATATCAAGGAGAGTAAAAAACTGTTTCTCCTCCCTAGAAATGTAACATGCAAGAGGGTAAGGAAAGAAGAGGGAGCTACCCACTTCAGCCAAGAAGCAGGGGGCCTTTTAGCCCCTGAGGCTTAGACAAGAGATTTTCCCCTACAGCAATGATTGAGTCCTGAACTTTCACTACAAAACTCCCATCCTCAAGTGAAATGCTCAAATCAGGCAAGCACAACTTCACTGAAAGGATCTGAGGGAGGCAAAACTTTCAGGCAGCCCTGGCAGCTGCTAAACTCTAGATCTTTGGGGATGCAGATGCCTAGAAAGAGGCAAGAAGCAAGGACTGCCCTTTGTCCCCAGCCCAGCTGTCAAAACAACACAGGAAGGAGAAGCAGAAGTCCCTACTCCCTCCTGACATTTCTTCTGTAGCAGACCTTCAGCACACAGCACACCTTCTCTGCATCCACTGAGACACACAAGTCTTCCACAGGAGTAGGCAGGACATTTGGCTGGTTGTGCTACTCAGCGGATCACTGGTAGAAAGCAGTACCCTCCAGTTTACAGAACCCCACTTCACGCTGCACCGCTCTGCTTGGCAACAGTCTGTGCAGCTCCACTGTCTCTGCAGGGTCTTCTGTTTCCTTTGTAAAGGAAGGCTTTGGGCAACTGTTCTCTTGCCCATAAGCAGAAGAGGGAGACTGAGCCAGATCTCAGCTCAGAACACTCTTCTCTCCTGGGCTGGGAACAGCAGCTCAGGACACTGCAGGATTTCTGTCATCTTTCTCACTGCTGAACTGTAGAAAATGTCCCAATTAATATTTTATAGGGCTAAGATGTGCTTACATCCTCATCTGCTACTGTTTGCGGATGGGGGAAGGTAAATTATTCCTTTCATCTCTCCTTTCTTCTCAATCCTGGAAATTATTGTTGTTGTTGCATATATTTTACAGTTCTATGCCAGAACCACTCCAATAAAGTAGCAGGCAGCAAGAAAGTCTGGAGAGCTTCCACACTCCTGAGGCCTTGCTGCAGTGCAAGCGCTTTCTCGCCTACATTGCTGGGGAGGGGTGGGGGTGCCTTGGCTTCCCTTTTAGCAGCGTCTCTCACAAACGAAATCTTGCAAAAGACAGTTGCAAGGTAACTGATTGTGCTGCATACTCTGTACTTGGGCCAGATTCTCACAGCAGGACAACAGTTTAAGATAACCTACCCATAGCCTATCTGCACGCCTGGGTCTTGCAAATTCCCCACTTATCCTCCCAGCTCTACTTGGAACTCCTACAGAAGGGGATCCTTCATCCTCCCGGATCACGTTGCCCTCGTGCACGGTTACACTTGCTAAGAATCTGTTTGCAAGTACAAGGACACGGGGAAGCAGACAGCAAAAACAGCTGAGCAAAGGGGGAAGGAGAGGTAAGAGCTCACCACGTGCTACTCAGCCACCGAGTCCTGACAGCCAGGACAGACAGCTGACAGGAGCAAGGCTCAAACAAAATGACATAACCATCAAAATGCCATGGGAGATGTAAATCAAGAGCAATTGCTCCCCTGAAATCCTACACCATCATGAGAGGGAGGGGAGCGGGCAGGGCAGCTAGTGATCATGGGCAGCAGCCACACCAGAACTTGTGACAAGAGGTCATCACCCCACAGCCCATCCCTCCAGCACCGCACAGCCTGGCTGGACACCAGAGGAGGAGTACAGCGCTCCGGTCACAAGGTACAGGAAACTATTTCTGGTCAGGGGGAAAGCATACCACACTCTTCTGTCTCCAGGGCAACAAAACAGGCAAACTCAAGCACAACACACAGAGAGAAAGCACACTCCAGCCCCGGGAGCACCAGCCCGCAGCAGCCAGCCGCCACAACCGAGAGCAGCAAAAGGTCAGGCTGGGTGGGTTTCCTGCTGCGGGTCCTGGAGGATCACAGATCCCATTCCTGCAGGATTGCCTGAGAGCCCCTTTTTAATCTTTCTTCATTGCTCGGTGGCCTTTGGCACATTATAGGCACCTAAATGCGTAAGGAATAAACATGGAGTTGCAATTTTTATACCTTTCTCTAGTCTAACAAAGGTTATTCCCAGTAGGAGACAGAAAAAAAGTTCTGTGAGTCCAGCAGAGATGTCAAAAGCTGGACTTTAAGACATCTCTTACACAGGGGCTCACTGAACCTTAAAACCCAAAGTACTCTTAACTGTATTAGAATAATGATGAAAAGAAGACATGGGGGTTCAGAACACTGCCTTACCAGGAGTTTGCAAAGCAAATCATGTCTCCTCCCTTTGCCCAAAAGATCAAATTATTTCTGCAAGCCACCCGTGGAGTAAAGGTGTTTATTCTTAATGCACACTGGAAGTACACCTCCCATCTAACAGAAACACAGCAACAAATCCTGACCTACCTTACAGGATCCTAGGTCTGGGACATTAGGACTATTTCCTGCCTTTCAGAAATTATGAAATTCAACCATAACTTGCCTAAAACACAGTATATCCTTTAGAAAATGTTAAGAGTTCATGTTCAAGACTTCAAGTGATAATGCCACACACCCACAGAAGTTACTCCAAATGTTAGTTATCCCTCCTGTTAAAATTTAGCACTGCTGTTGTTCCAAGTCTGAATTCATCTACCTCCTGCTTCCAAATATTGGATTTCATTAAGCACTTTTCCTGCTACGTTACAGAGCTGTCTAGCCCTGAACAATAGCTGATGCTTAAAACTTAAGTACAGGATATTACAAAAACTCATCTAATATTCATTTACTGTTTTCCAGCCAAAAAAGAGAATCTTGCTAGTTGGACAATCCAAAGCAATGAGTATCTACACAGACAGAAAAGTGCACTCTACGTAGCTTATTTGTAGCAGAATTTAAAATGTAAATGCTTAAGGAGATGGTGCTTAAAAACAGCAGGACAAAACTTTCTTATGTTTGATACACAAACTAAGGTGTGAGTATCTGTTTCTCTTTAGTAGGCCTTTATACAGATAAGATTTCTGCATCTTGGTTCAGCATGTAGAGACTACATTTAACCAAAGTATCTTTAGCATTACTCCTCTGCAAATACTGCTCAAAGCGTCATTCTAGTAATGCTAATACTGGGTTTCTTCAGAATACACCTGGTAAGAAACTGGCTATTCAGTGAATGGGGGGTTCATGGGTTGGGTTTTGATTTGTCTAAGGATTTACTTTAATAGAAAACAGGATGATTGGGTTAGTATAATTTGTGAGAGTTAAGGACCTGCAAAAGTGAACTGCTTCATTTTATACAAACATGCAGTCCCTTCAGTGGGACAGGACTGGTCATGCACAACACATGGACAGAAGTGGCCATGCACAATTAATAACATCACAGCTGTAAGAATCTCTAACTGAGCAGGTCCAAACAAGAATAACCCTGCTTGAGTACAGAAGACAGCAGACTAAGTCATGATAGTTTGGCCTGTATGTTCTAAATGTACCAAACTTCAGCTGCTAAACAGGTTAACGTGATGTAGTAGAAAGGTGTACTCAACAGAAATGAAAAAAAATGCATACAGCTTTATTTCATGAAAAACTGGCAATTTCCAGCAGGGTGGGGAATATGACTAGTTTTATATTGATGTGCATTTCTTACTCTTTTGTAAGAAAATCGTTTCATCATCTGACCACTTCTGTCTGTAACTCCAAAGATGTGTTGGCAGAGATGGATGGATAACGTAAGACCCAACTTCTGTGCTCCATTATTCTCCAGGGAACCCATTCCCATTTTTCTACTCTAGCCACTACACACATGTCTGCTTCACAAGAGGTTTTTCCTAACCAGGTCTTTCTCCTCCAAGGGTACCCTTGGAGGAGAACATTTTCAGACACACAGACAGGGCACAGGACATCTACAAATCGTAGCAGTCTAGAGCTGTCAAGTGAGAACATTTATATAACAACAACAAGAGGGGGAGGAAAAAAAAAAAGGGAAGAAAAAGGTCACTGTGCCTAATCAGCCTGTTAGGAAGCTGTGCAGAGGAGAAGGTGCTGCCAGGGAAGCACAGGGAGACCTCTCTGCACAGAGCTGAGGTAAACTTGCAAATGACAGTCTGGAGAAAGACACCTGCAAAAAAAACCTGAAAAGCAGATCAGTCCCAAGCAAGCGGAGTGAGGGCCAAACTTAAGCCAGAGAGCAGGGGAAGACAGGTAGGTGTCAGGTGCTGACATTGCCACCCTGCACACACAGCACAGCCCGATTCCCTCTGGGCTTCGGACACAGCTACGATGCCCTGACTGACTGCTGCTCCCAAGAGAGATGCAGAGAGGGGTTTCATGTCAGCTGCAGGCAGCTGCCACACAAACACACTTTTCAGCAACAGTCTTGCCACAAACTCCCCAAAGAAACAGTGACTGGGGAGGTTTACAGAGACATGCTCTTTGTGCCCCGTCCCCTCCACCTGTCCAAGGAGCACTGACATTTATTGCTATAGGAACAAACAGCAGCAAAACCACATCTATTTCAGGTAGTTCCTTCTCCTGGCAAGCACAAGACAGCATTAAAAACTAATTGGAAGAATGAACAAAACAGTTTTTGAATGAAATCAAACTGAGATTTATCAGAGAAAGTGATTAATTTCACACCTACCATAAAATGAGGTCTTAAAAAATGAATTTACCATACTTTATTCAACAAGCATTAGAAACACGTCACTACTGAAATGGTTCCACATGCAAAGGAGCACACCCACTGCAGCATTTACTGACTTACTTTACCAAACTGCAGCTATACTGAGGTCGTGCAGCTAAAGCTTGCTCTTTATTTAGTACACTTTTCAAAAAAAAAAAGAAAAAAAAAGAAAAAGAAAAAAGAGGGAGGGTTTTATAGCAGCCTAGAAGTTTAGCCACCCCAATGGGAAGGGAGATTCTTTCTTAAATGCAGTAAAAAGCAGCAGCAGCAAAACTAATCCTTAGTTGTGAATTGTCTCTGTCTGAGGAATTGTGCCATGAAGAAAAAAACCTTGCTCCTCCATTTACCAATATGTAATCTTCCTGCGCTCAACTGGAATATACGCTCTAGCTGCTCAATATTATAGTCCACCTGTTTTCATCTTGCACTAGGACCATACTCTATCGTTGCTGTTAAAGGAGGCTTGAAGCTATCATTCCTGTGGGAACACATTCTAGATTACATTTCTGAGAATAGGAAGAGTCCAGAAGAAGAATCAAACCCAAAGCAATAAATTCAGTTTGATTGCTGTCATCATGCCAATTCCGGGAGATAGTCAATTGGTGCCAGCTGCTAAGATATCATTTGAGTTGCTTCAAGACAGAAATCGAATTTGCATCAAATACATTTTGTAGCGTGAGACTAGTCTGAGCCTTCAGGTTGCTTCATGCTTTTCTTTGTTTGTTTAAATCTAAGCTTCCTCTCGGAGACATTCCCAGCAAAAGAGAGCTAGCTCCCTCATCCCGCACTTCAAGCCAGACTTTCCTCCATATTCTCTTATTTTTCCAAGAAGACTGTACTACAAAACAACAGAGGTCTCTTAGCATTTGCAATAGGGTAGCACAGGACAGCATGCCATGTCATGCTACCACTTGAAACATGAATACCAGCAAAGTCTGATCACCACCATTTCCCCTTCTGCAGAAGTTAGTAGAAGCAAACAAACAAACAAACAAATCACACTGGGCCTTAAGAATGACCAGAGGCCCACATAGATTCAGTATATCCTTTCTGACAATAGCTAACAGCAGATGCCTGAAGATAAATATAAAGAAAATAAGCATATAACAACACTTCCCAAAGTCTCTCCCTCCAGCTTTTTGCAGCTCAGGACTTTGACGTTTCCATTTCTGTATTTCTACGCTGCCATTTCAAAGACCAGCCAAAATTAATAAATCTGTAACAGCATACTACCCCCATTGCAGGAGACATTTCTGAAAGCCAAAGTCTGTTTTCCACCCTCCCAGTGCAGAAGGACCCCAGTGGCACAACGTCCCAAAAGCACGAGGGCAGAGGGGCACCCATCCCCTACCTCCACCAGCAGCATCTCTGCTGGCTGCAGCAACTGCGCGAGAGCCGTAAAGTCACCAAGGGGAAGACACGCTGGAGTGAGCAAGTGAAGATGAAACAGCGAAGCTCCACTTTTCTCACCCTATGAAAGCTGGAGAAACAAGACGGTGGTGAAATCGTCATCACTTGCCTTCAGGTATTAAGAAAGGAGGAGGTTCAAATGCCAATAGGACACAA